GAGATGATGGAGGATGGTAGGGTGGTTAGCAGAGAGTGGACAACTTTTCAGATTTAAAATACTATTCCTACACAAGAACTAATTCAAATCATAATTTTTCAAGTGGAGCTTTCTACAAGCACAGAGCTTCAGGCAGAAGGTAACCCAGGAACAAGGCACTTTAAGTCCAAAGCAACTATATTCAGCCCAGTTTTGAAAATTACAAGTGGATGAATGAGTTTAAGAAAAGAAGGCTCTTTTTAAAGCCAGGTTGAAAATCGAATTTCCTGAAAGTAATTAAACACATGGGCTCCCAGAGCAGCCGATCACATGGGCAGAATAAAGACAGAATGAGAATAGTAATTGATCGCTCAGAGGTGCTCCTGTGAAGGAAAAAGCAAACTGCAAATGATGCTTCCAGGTTGACCCACATATGAAACCATCCACACTTACCAAGCAAGCACGGAGACAACTAGTCCATCTCATAGGACGACCACAGCCCACACTCATCAGGCTGTGCCAAATATCCAGTACTTTACTTCTTGCTCTTAAAATGTATTATTTCATTAGTTCTCAAAGTAATACCTTAAGACTAGGTCTTATCAGTAGTTTCATTTTGTAGCTGGAATAAGTGAGGTTCAGGGAAGTTGGGTGATGGGCATCTATTCCTTGGTTGATGAGCATTTGGGATGTTTCCAAGATTTAGCTATTAAAAAGTATGCTGCTATAAATATAGGTGCTTATGTATTGCTGTGGTACGACGTTTTTAACTTTTCTGGCAAGATAATGAGACGGGGAATAGCTGGGTCGAATAGGAGCTCCAATCCTAATTTTTTGAGGCATCTCCAGACTGATCTCCACAGTGGTTGCACCAGTCTATACTCCCACCAACAGTGGAGAAGGGTTCCTTTCCCTCAGCATCCACTCCAGCATTTGTTATTGGTTGATTTCTTGATGGCAGCCACATTTTCTGTGGTAAAATGAAATCTCAGTTTTGTTTTAACTTGCATTTCTTGAACTACCAATCATGTTGGAAATTTTTACTTATATTAATTTGTCATTTGTATTTCCTTATCTGAGAAGTGTGTATTGATCTCAGATGGCCATTTTTCAATTGGGTTTTTGAATTTTAGGGTTTTGAATTTTTAAATTTTTTATGTTTTAGATAGAACTACTTTGAGGGACAATCTACTAAAATATTTTCTGACTCTGTGGGTTGTCTTTTCGCACTGTTGGTGATTTCTTTTGACCCGCAAAAGCTTTTTAATTAGACAAGATCCAAATTGATCATCCTTTGGACTATTTCCTGTGCAGTTTGGGTTTTGTTCATGAGCTCTCTGCCAGGGGCCAAACACATTCACTGGAAAAAGATGGCCTCTTCAATAAATGATGCTGGAAAAACTAGTGTCTACAAAGAAAAACGAAAATTAGGCCCACTTCTATCCCCATGCACTAAACTAAAGTCAGAATGGATCAAAGATCTAAATATTAGAACAGAAGTATTAAGTCTACTGGGAGAGAAAGTATGTAGAAATATTGAAGACTTAGATGTAGACAAGTATTTTCTTTCTGGAGTTGAAAAGTTTTGTTTCAAGCCCTCCTGGCCTCTAATGTTTCTGTTGGGAAATCTGTAATTATTATTCTGGGCACACTCCTGTGAGATGGTGCTTCCTCTAATGGCTTCTAATATTGACTATTTGACCTGAATTTCTGGCATTTCAAGCATGATGTGTTCTGCAAAGATCTACTCTGGTCTATGTGTTTGAGTTCTGGTTGCTGGCCTTATCTGGGAATCCATCTCATTCTTCAGTTTTGTGAAATTTTCTATAATAACATCAGTGTCTGTATTTTTTAGCCATTGACCTGTGTTTCAATGCTTTATTTTGATCAATGAACCTCAAGTTGTTTCTTTTAGATTTTCCCAAGTACTTTTGTTCAGTAGTTCTTGTTCTCTCTCTTTCCTTGATCCTCTCTGCATGTTCTAGCACTTCCATCTCATCTTCAGTTCTTTGCTCTGACTGTTCTTTTCTAGGTCAACTGCTTATATGGTTCTTCTCTGATGTTACTAATCCTTGTATCTATCATTTTTTTAACTTCTTCATGTGGAGTTTCATCTATTTCTGCATCTGTGGGTTCAGCTTTTGGAGAGTTTATATGCATTTGGAGACCTGTTTTCCATGGCTCCTGGGTCTCTGTGAATGGGGAGCTGTCTCGTGTTAGTTTCTCCAGCTCTGACCTGATCTGGGCTGGCCCTTGAGGGTCACATGGACTGGGGTAAGTACCATGTGACATCTACATTCCTGGCTTTTTCTCTTGAGGATTTTGTGTGTTTCACAGAATAGCTTGGTCTCCAATTGGCTGGGGCAGGTGCAGTGAATGGGGAAATTCTTCTCTGTTAGGATAGCAGGCTCTGGGCCGTGCCCTCATGGAGAACTTCATGACTCAGATAGCACTGAGGATTATTTTATTAATTCTCAAAATAATACCTTGTGGGTGAGGTCTTGTGTTTTCATTTTGCAGATGGAGTGAATGAGGCTTGGAGTAAACAACATCTGGGGTGAAAGCCAAGCTACTGCCTCTGCCCTGGCTTCTTCCGTTCAAGGTTCTGTGCATTTCATGAATGGCTCCATCTCCAAACCTGTGCCTGGAGCAGAGCCTGGCCTGGTGGATGGTTCCACTTCTTAATGGAGTTCGCCCTTGTGTATCTCACCTGTGTGCTCTCCTGTCTGAGCCTGTGCCAGTGTCCTTGTGTGCACCTCCTGGCAGTCACCCCTGAGTGAACTTGGGCAGGCCTTGGAGCTCTCTGTAAGTGCTGCTTCCTTTCTGCTGCCTCCAGGATCCAGTTCTTCCCAAAGCACACAGTGGATGACAGTGAACTGTAGTCCCCCTACTGTGCTGCAGGAGTTCACAAATTTCCCCCTTGACTGTGCTCTGGGTTCTCTTTATCCAGTCATTATGTCCTCCCTCCTGGCCTCAAGAAATCAGAACTCTACATTAAGATCACATTTTTAGCTTCCATATACGAGTAGGATCATGGAGTATTTATGTTTTTGTGTCTGATTTACTTCACTCTGTGTAATGTTTTCAATTCCGTCTGTTTTCTTTGGTACATCTCATAAATGGTGATGCTGAATCACAGGAAATATTCAGTTTTAGCTTCCTGAGCCTCTTTCATACTGCTTTTCATAATGGACACATTAACTTACTCTCAACCAAAATACATGAGTTCCTTCTTCTTAACATCATTACCAACGTTTGTTAGTTTTTTAATAATGCCAGTATAACTTGAGTCATATGAAATCTCACTGTGATTTAGATTTAACTAAGTGCCTTTATTGTGTCTTACTCCATTTATTTCTTGTTGCTATAGCACCGTGATTTCCAACTAATAGATGGGGAACTGTACAGAAGTGACACAATTCATTCTCCTGGGACTAACTGATGTCCCAGAACTGCAGGCCCCTCTCTTTACCCTGTTTACTCTCATTTACCTCTGTGATGTGATTGGAAACCTATGGATGGTCATGTTGATTCTGATGGACACTCGTCTGCACACTCCCATGTACTTCTTTCTTAGTAATCTGTCTCTGGTGGACATTGGATACTCCTCGGCTGTCACCTCCACAGTCATGGCTGAGTTTCTCACAGGGTACAAGGTTGTGTCCTACAATGCTTGTGCCGCTCAGATGTTCTTTTTTGTATCCTTTGCCACTGTGGAAAATTACCTCCTGGCTTCAATGGCCTATGACCGCTACGCTGCAGTGTGCAAGCCCCTGCATTACTCCAGCACAATGACCCCAAGGGTGTGTGCCTGTCTGGCCACAGGCTCCTACATCTGTGGTTTCCTGAATTCTGTTTTTCACACTGGAGATGTGTTCAGTCTTTCGTTTGGTAAATCCAATGTGGTCCATCACTTTTTCTGTGATGTTCCGGCAGTCATGGCTCTGTCTTGCTCTGATACACACCTTAGTGAAGGGATTCTGGTTTTTATGTCAAGCTTTAATGTGAGTTTTGCTCTTCTAATTATCTTGACATCCTATCTACTCATATTTGTCACCATCTTGAAGATGCACTCAGCTCAGGGACACCAAAAGGCTCTGTCCACCTGTGCCTCCCACCTCACCACAGTCTCCATCTTCTACGGGACTGTCATCTTCATGTACCTGCAGCCCAGCTCCAGTCACTCCATGGACACTGATAAAATCGCATCTGTGTTCTACACTATGGTCATCCCCATGCTGAACCCCATGGTCTACAGCCTGAGGAACAAGGAGGTCAAGAGTGCATTCAAGAAGGTGATGGAGAAAGCAAAAATTTCTACATAAGGCTGTCATTTCAGCTTTGTATTGTGCATTGTGATTGTAATTCATGACTCTCAGACCTTCGTGCAATGAGTTATATTTAAGCTTAACAATGCAGAAAAATTTCCAAATTAATATCTTTACAACTTTGGAAGTCTGTCATCTATATGAAGAAGGCTTAGATAAGTTGTTAGAAGTTTTGGGGCTTGCTTGTCAGATCTTCAAAACGAAATTTGTCTTATTTCTTTGTTTCATTTATATTTTCCCTTTTGCATTTCAAAACAAACATCTATATTAAACAAGGACTAAAAACACGTGTGTGCCTGTTGTGGGCACACACACATTGCAATGGGACATTGGTCAGAGGTAAATGCAGTGTGACTAGTTTTTAATAAAAAATAATTTAAGCAATTGATTGGATTTTAGGTACCTAGATTTGTTTTCTAAAAATCAACATTAGTTTTATGGCAGTTTTAGGCTCACAATGAAGTTGAAATGGAGGAACAGATATTTTTCACATGCCCTCTGCCTCCGCATACACATGGACTCCCCCCATTACCAGTGTTCCCCGCTTACACAGAGGTATACTGAGGTACATCTCCCCAAGACTTTCATCTATACTCTTGGTGGTGTGCATGTTATCAGTTTAGACAAATGTATAGGGTATGATAAAATATGGTGGATGTTTAAAATTTTTATTAAAGCAGAAGACACAGAGCCATGAACCCCACTCAGGACATCCCTCACTTCAAGAGACGCGCTAACCCCGTCCTTCTCGCTGCCTCCTGCAGCAGGTCCTTTGTCCTCTTCCCTGAGCATCCGTCATGTGTCGCTGTGGCTGCCTCAGTGTCCAGAATGCACTCAGCGCGCGTCCCTTCGCCATCATTTCGACTGAGGTGGAGGAGCCAGAGGCTGCAGTGCTGCTCTGCAGAATTAGGTGAAGGAGGATGCACCCTTTCGTTTCTATTGGGCAGAGGTTGCTGTAAAAACTTAAACCACTTTGGGTTGACTCAGCATTATGGCAGCCACACAAAACACACTTGGGGTATTAGGGTGCTCTAAACTAATTCAGAAAGTAGTGAGAATAATGGGATGGATGGGCTTAAAATCAGAGGAAGAATTTGGAGGAGGATCAATAGCAGTGTGTCTTTTACTGTAAATACTTGTTTTTAAATTACACATTCACCACTTATTCAGATCCTACCTTGTAAGACAGGTGCCCCTCACTGCGGTACCATTGAGTCTCAGCACTCTAAAAGCCCTGAGCATTTTTCCTGCTCATTGCTCCCTTTCCTTGACCCCCTGGTAACAACCGAGGTACAGCTGGAATCAAACATCAGTGGCCCGATTTCACACCGCATTCTTTCTCTCAGGGATATGCATTTCCTTTCCCCATGGCTTTTCATAACCTAACAGCAGCTCATTGATGTTTGGCTCTGAACAATACCGTACTGCCTGGACACACTGCCTGCGATCTGTTCACCCACCAAGGAACGTTTTGGTCGATTTCAAGAGTTCTGACCATCACAAGTACAGCTTTTGTGACATGAGTGTTTTAACTGTTTTTTTTCTTCAGCATCACTGAATTTTTTGCTCATTTGCACTATTCATTTTTTATTTTTAAATAGGGTAAAATTAAACATAACAAAACAGATTATAACAATGTAAGAGACAGATTTCAAAGCAAGACAACCAGAGATCTTCACTATCATATTGTCTCGTTTTCTTCCAAATAATTGTCTACATCTTCACAAACAATTGTATGAATTCATACAAAACAAAATAGTATAGAACTCATCAGAACAGGATGATGAAGGCATTTTAGGCCTTCATAACCAGACAATAAAGAAGTCAACAATGGCTGCCATAGTGCCTCTCATTCTCTTCAAAATAGCTGTCCATACCTTCATGTTTGTTGAAATTAAACAATACAAAACAGACTAAAATCACTCTGAACAAGGAATAATAGTATTGCCGGATCTCATATCTTGATGTTATGGAATCAGCACTGAGTACCTTAGTGCCTCTTTTTCTTCAAAGTAGCTGCAGTATATGTTGTTATCTTCATAATAGCTGTCCATTCCATCAGTTATAACAAAATCAATCAAAACAGAACATTAAATAAAGCTAAACAATTAACTGGAAATAAACAAAGCAGTGAGGTTTCAAAAACAAGACAGAAGGAAAATCCCTCGTACTTGCTATATTGCATACTGTTTTCCTCCCAATAGATGCTCAGACCACTGGTCCCAAGCCTCAGTTGCTATCAACTCAGCCTTTCTTCCCAACCAGCTAGTTATTTATAGGGCATGGGGAGAGTTGGTGATTCTCAACCCACATGCCAGTAGGCTCACAGGAGTTTCTATTTGACTTTTCTCTTTCAGGGCCCCTCGTAGCTTGCATGGTTTACCAGAAAGTCTGGCTGGTTGGATTCTTGGTGTTCTCTTCCCAGTCCCAGCGTGGCTAATTCTTGGGAGTCAGCCTTACTTTTTAATGTGACCCGAAAGGACTATGTGGATGTGATTAAGGATATTAAAATTTTTAAAAATCAGGATTATCTAAATGTACCACAAGGCCTATATAATATACTCCTATAAATGGACTTAAGGATATTTAAATGTAGAACAGATTTGGCAACGTGACCACAGAAACCACACTGAAATGATGTGACCATCAGAGTGTGGGGCCAGATGCAGCAGAGGGAGGAAAAAGGATAGAGGAGGAGGGGCCCCTGGAATCTGTGAGGAGGCTGTGTCCTGACGATCTGCTGCTTTCAGCCCAGTGAAACTTATGTTGGGCTTCTGCTTTTAAGAATTGTGGAAATCAACATAAGAACTGGGAAGTTCTAAATCTGTAGTAGTGACAGTGGTCCAAGAGAACCAAGACAAACTGTCATCTGTTCTCTGCCCTAATCAGGTATCACTATTTTATATTTGGTAAAATTGGCCCATGAAGGGCTTTTCTTTCCTGAATTTTTTTTCCTTTTCCTGAAAATTTATTTATTGCTAATTGAATATCTACACATGAACGTATACTCATGCTTTTCTCTTTCTCTAGAGTCAGTTTTGGCAGTATGCACATTTCCAGGAATTCATAAAATTATCTAATGTTATCCAATATTTTGATGTACAGTCATTAATTGAGTTCTGTTGTAGTCTTTATTATGAGAACATTATGATGACAGTAAAATTATTTGGATGAAAACTGTGCCTGTGTTTTTAGTGGCAGTAGTCTGGAGACATGAAATAAAAACTCATATCAATTGGTTGAGATGGTCATGTAATATTTATGTGACATAGTTGACAAAATGCTGAGAACTTTAGTCTTAAAAATGAGAATATTATTGTTATCTTCACAATAAATTAAGTGTTAAAATGTGCCATTTTCAGTGCATCTACCAACTACCACAATTAATGTAATTAATATGTGACACAAACATGAACAAAAAAATAAAGAAAAGGAAGTGGGGGAGGGGGTCTGGAGATGGAGTGAAGGGGGGATGGGAAGGGGAATAAAAATAAAGATACATTAACTATATGCAGATACTCCCTAAGGTGAGGACAAACACTATGTACTCTAAGCATACACTAATAAAAGTTTAAAAAGAGATAAGAATATTTGTGCACATTAAAGTAATCAGCATGATCTCCACAGACAGTTTAATTTCTTCTTCCCCAGAAAGCAGGATGAGGAGCTCTATGCAGTCCCATAGGTTAACTCCCCAGAGTCTCAGAGTCTCCCTAATCCTCTCTGGATTCCCATGCACTGGCCCCATGTCTGTCATGTGGCTAGAAAAGGGGTCCTGCCCACCTGCTTCCTGGGCATTACTTCTACCTCTGAATGACAGTCTTGTTGTGAGCCTTCAAACTGGGGATCTGGAAAACACCCAAAGATAAAAATCACATCAGTAGAGGTTTAGATGACAACCTCTTCATGGATTGTTTTGTAGACATCTTTTATTTGTTATTTATAGACATAATTCTGTAAATTATGTGAGAGACATAATTTTGTCATGTTACTATGTGCAAATAAGGAAGAAATAAGAAACTCTTCTAAGGAAACAGAGTTAATAGGAAGTTTGGAACTTTGTGATAATTTTCTTTCCTTTGCTTTTTCTTGCCTTTAAGTACTTGGAACACTTTGACCACTCTAATAAAATTTGTGCAATCTTTCTTGGTTGATTACAGAATTTCAGGTTCAATGTTCTGCACTAACTATTGTTTCTCTTTTAGAAAACTGGTAAGTTTCTTTATTCTGTAATTTAGGGATAAATATAATTTGTGAAAACAGTGGGGTCAGTTATTCTTACTGTGAGTTATTTAAAAAGAGAAATAGAAAGCATCAACATATTTCCAAAAATATGATGCCACTCTGGGGCATTAATTGGGAAAACATTCATTAGAGACAATTTAGAGACTATAATGAAACATTACATTTATTTCTTAAGGAAATATAAACCAAAACAAGACAAGATTGTTAGGATGATAATTTGTCTTGTTCACTACTATTTGCCTCTCATTGGAGATAAAAGAAACAAACTCAGAAATGTGAAAGGAGCTTACTTTAAGCTACACAATAGTCCTAAGCAAACTGAGGTGTTGTGCATTGCACTTTCCTCTTTCTCCTGCAATCTCATACTTGTAATTACTGGTGCATCTACAGAGGCCGGATGGGAGGTAGATAAAAGTGCAGATCGAGATTACTGAGAACGTGGCTCTAACTCTTGAGCCTTGCATCTTTCTTCTACTAGCTGGACAATTTTAGAGTGGTCTATACTTCTCAAATTTTCAGTTTCTTAATGATAAAGCAAGATTGCTTGAGATACACACACATACATACACGCAGACATTAGTATATAAAGTCCTTATTTTAGGTTTCAGAACACAGTACATCTAAAATCAGTCATGTGTGTTAACGGTGTTAAACAGTATGTTCAGAGACACAGTGCCCAATGGTTAGGAGAAAGGGAATTTATGAATAGATGAATGTCTTCCCAAATCTTCAATTAAAAAAATACAAAATGAAAATTTTAAAAATTAAAATATTCTTCCTACACAAGAACAGATTTAAATAAAAGATCTTCCCACATGGAAGTCGACATTGAAACAATTCTGCAAGTTAAAGACTGTGGTTAAATGGAAATTTTCTACCCTTGGTATCAGAGATTTGGCTATGGAATGAAACTAATGAAAAACAGGGACTACACTTAAGAAAAATATGTTCATTTACTCCAAGTAAATCATGAGTTAAAAAAGGGATTTTTTAAAAAAAATGGCTCACATAGAACTGCAGAAGGACTAATCATATGTTTGAACCAAACACAGAAACTTCACTGGCTCAGGTGTGGCGTAAAAGGCAAATTGGGAAAAGAGAATTCCAGACCACAGCACTCACCTGCATAAACTAAGATGAAGACCATTCTTCTATTCCTTTTAATAGCCAAACACCTAGTATTTGACAAGCTGAGCTTAACTCCAGTATCTTATTGGTATTTTCATTAATTACCTTTTTTCATCGATTATCTTATTACTGCCCTGGTTTAGCAGGTAGAAATAAGATGTTCAAGGGATTGGTTAGGACCAGTGACTCGTAGGTGGCACAGGGCAGGTCTCTCACACATCTCTTTTAGGAATGTAAGCTCTCCACATTTTCTGATGTTCTGTCTTCTCTCACGATCACCTCTGCCTGTGAAGCGCTCTATTCCAGTTATCCAACCGCCTCTACCAGGCAAGCAGTCATGCTGCAGGACATCACAGAAACCTGGTGCCAAACTGAAAGGAAGATGCCTTGCACCAAGGAGTTGGAAGGCAAGCTATTTATTTTGCTGGAGGGTTGGTGGGAAATCCATTGCCAAGTCATCAGCCCTTAGTCTGCATTGGATTCAGCTTATATAGAATTTGCAAGCAGGAAATACCTAAACTAATATCAGGTTATTATATACTTCGTTAACTGAATGAAGTCATATGCTGTCAGGTTGAGTTGTTCTAGGCAAGTTTACTTCAAAGGAATTGTTTATCAAAGGCAGGAAGATTCTGGGATGGTCACTGAGTGGAATGGGTAGAGGTAAATACATCTTTAACGGAGCCTCTGTGTCCTGCATAGAAAGTCCTTGAGACGTGTTGCTAAAACAGGATATATTTTAAGATGGGGAAACACAAACATTGCTACTGCTCAGGGTCAGGTGGACCTGGAAGCTATTTGATTTTTAAATTTCTGTTAATTTTCTATTATATTCAAATTTCTATCACAGTGACTCAGAGCTAAATGTGTTTTGATCTGAGTCAAAAGTTTGTTCTTTTGATCAGCACGTCAAGAGCTGTGGCAGTGCTGGTGGAATATCGCAAGACTGTGTGGGCAGGGAGATTAAAATGCAGTTCTGAGCTTGTTCACTCATTCAGGACACTTCTGTAGTAGAGAAAGGATCTTTGCACTCTGCTCCACTTGTCTGTTTTCTGGTTTACCAGGGAAGTAGATATGTAGTAAACAAGATAAAATTATCACTCCTCATGCAGTTCATTATGAAAACACAAACCCTGAGATTGAACCAGAACAGAGAAGGAATAACTGTTAAATGCATTAAATTCGACTTGATTTCTATTTTTCTTAAACCGTTAGACTTAGGAATGGTTCAACATAGGGTTGAAGGCTGGCATGGGTCTGGAGCAAACACTAACAAATCATGTTCACCCAACTATGAATACACTTCTCAGGGCCTTGCACCTCATGATTCACGTGGATGTAACAACCAGTGAGCTCACAGTGTCCCTGAGTAGAGACAGCAAACACACGTCTCAGGTGAACAGCAGTTCCTGCAGTGAGCAATGCAGTAGTGCCAGCTTCTATTCACTCCAGGGAGTGAGGCCCAGACGGGTTCATCTACTCAATTGGTTTCGCCAAGTTATTAACTTGTCTACACTTCAGTAACAAATAAACTTTAAAACTGAGCACCTAGCGCATGAAAATACAATTCATGTGTCAAATCTGCTTTTCACTTAGGCATTTTCTGGGGACTCTGAAAACACAACTTGTTGCTACAATAAAAAAATGCACGTGGTGCACACACTTCTCCAGTTCAGTCCATTTGTTTCATTATAGGTTGCTTTTTCTCATTACTACACAGCTTCCAGTGATTCCCAGACAGCACTGGTAGAAAACAGGACAGAGGTGACAGAGTTCCTGCTGCTGGGACTGACCGATGACCCGCACCTGCAGCTTCCCCTCTTCATCACCTTCCTCCTCATCTACACCATCACTGTGGCTGGGAACCTGGGGATGATCCTGCTCATTCTCCTGGACTCTCGTCTGCAGAGTCCCATGTATTTTTTCCTGGGAAATCTGTCCCTGGTGGATTTCTGCTACTCTTCCGCTGTCATGCCCACAGCGGTCACTGGGCTCCTCATTGAAAACCAGCTGATCTCCTACAATGCTTGTGCTGCTCAGATGTTCTTTTTTACAGCCTTTGCTACTGTGGAAAATTACCTCCTGGCCTCCATGGCCTATGACCGCTATGCCGCAGTGTGCAGGCCCCTGCACTACACCACCACCATGACCACAAAGGTGTGTGTAGGTCTCAGCACAGGCTGCTATGTCTGTGCTTTTCTGAGTGCCTCCTTCTATACTGCTGACACGTTTAGTCTCTCCTTCTGCAAGTTCAATGCAATCCATCACTTTTTCTGTGATATTCCAGTAGTCATGGCTCTTTCTTGTTCTGACAGACATGTTAATGAGCTGGTTCTTATTGATGTAGCCAGCTTTGTTATCTTGTTAGCCCTCCTAATTATCTTAATATCCTACACATTGATTTTTATCTCTATCCTGAAGATGCATTCGGGTGCAGGACATCGCAAGGCTCTGTCCACCTGTGCCTCCCACTTCACTGCCGTCTCCATCTTCTATGGGACTACAATCTTCATGTATCTGCAGCCCAGCTCCAGTCACTCCATGGACACTGATAAAATTGCATCTGTGTTCTACACCATGGTCATCCCCATGCTGAACCCCATGGTCTACAGCCTGAGGAACAAGGAGGTCAAGAGTGCCTTCTCAAAAATTATTTTGGAAAGAAAATAATCTGTAGAGTTTTGTGCTTATTGTTTTGGGAACCCAGGCCATCCATCCTCATTTGTTACAGATACCCTTCATGCACATCCCCCAAAGTTAGTGTCCACATTGACAGCAAGTGTTTGAAGCGATGTTTGCCTATAGTCTAGAAAGAAGGAACCCTTATGTACAGAAATATAATGTGGGGTGAAGGTGCCTGCAGTTTCTTTTTGCTGTGTTCAAAATACTTATTCAAGATCCTAGTGCTCGTTTTCCATGTCAGTGCAAATGTGTGTAAAAGAAGGACACAACGAAGCCCAGGAACATAAGTGCAAGAAGACATCACCAGAAGACAGATGCACAGGGTTTTGGCAAGCCAGTTGTGTTGGTTCACTGCGTGCATCAATTTGACAGGATTTAGGGATGCCCAGACAACTAGTAACATATTTTGTTTGTGTGTATCTGGCAGAAAGTTTCCAAAACAGTAGCATTTGAATCAGTCAACTAGCAAAGATCTTTCCTCATCAATGTAAGAGACAATCGTCCAAACTGTATAGGGTTTTTCTGAAGAGAACAAGGAGCTTTCTCTCTGTCTCTGTCTGTCTCTGTCTGAAGCATCTGTCTTAGTCACCTATGCCTGATACATACAGGAGGAAATGGTTGCTTGAGGCTCTTGCATCCTGACATCTCAGTGTGTGGTCGATTTGCTCCAAAGCAGAAAGATCAGGTGCAGGGCTCAGTGGAGCAAAGCTGTTCACCTCAAGGCTGCCAAAACTCAGAGAGACCAGGAAAGAGCCCTAGAGAAAGGGGTCAAATGTATTTTCCAACACTGCGTCCCTGAAACCAGCCCAGGTGTGCACTTTCCTAATCTCCTAGGCATCTGTCATCTCATCTCACTGGCAGTCAGGATGACCTGTCCCAGCATCCACCTTCTTTCCTTCTTGAACCTCAGGGCTTCTGGCCCTGGGGCCCTCAGTCTCCAGACTCACACCATGAAAACCTCCCCTGTGTTTCCCAGTGCTGCACGCTGGGCTGTGCAGGTCCCACAGCCCCCATCTCCAGCTCAGAGCACACAGCCTGGTCCAGGTCACTTGCAGTTGCATAGGATCTCCTGCTTAGGGTGATTGCCCAGTTCCTGCTGGGTGTGCAATGTTGGATTGCTCTATTAGTGGATAACATGAACAGCATAGGTTGGAACATGACATGTAATATTTTATTGGTGCGTTAGAACCTAAATGTGTATATACTGTTTTTCTATCTTTCACTGCTGTTCTCAGAGGCAGGACATGGCAAATGTCCTCAACCTGTGGAGAGACCATGTTGAGTTCCACGGGGAGACAGATTTCAGACTGCTTTGCATAACCGTGAAGGAATCAGCAGGCATTGCTATAAACCTCCAACTGTGTGGAATTGTTTTAGGACTACAGGAACCAAAAGTTCCCTCACCTGGTGTCTTTTCTCTCATAAACTTATAATACCATTTTATAGGATATTTTTAGGAGAAATCACCAGGACAGTCACCTGTTCCTGGGATTTCTTGGTTGCAAAATTATTTATTAATAATTCCATTTCTACACTTGTTATAAACACATTCACTTTTTCTCTTTTTCTGGAGTCAGTTTTGGAAGTGCGTATTTTCAGAAATCCATGATTTCTCTGTGCTATCTAACATGATGTCATTTTCATCTCTAATCGTACTTATTTCTCTAAGGTCAGTAGAATAGCCCTAGCTTTATTCATGATTTTGGTAAATTAGCTTTCTCTTTTGTCATAGACTGGAAAATTCTCTCGTCTACACTGATATTGTTGCACAAATGTGATTTTACGATTGTTTTATTATTTTTTTTAAATTTTTATTTAAGGAGAAAAAAGAAAAAGAACAGAAAAAGGGTACATGTAATATAGAATTTAAAAAAAATCAACAGTAGGAAATCACTAGTTAATAGATTACTTATTGTCACCTTAGAAATAGTTGTTCAAGTTACAAAATTAAAGCATATAAAGTGGACATTCAAACAGTGAGACTGCAAACAGTTCTGTTCAATGATCCAACAAAAACTCAGTAATATGGTTATCTATTTTATACACTTAAAAACACATGCAGTTATATCCTTTAGAGCACTTTCTTTTCCTCTCTTTTTTATAATGACGACTACACATTTTGGGTTTTATTACTCCCACAGTTCCTATTACTTTTTTTTTTGAAGAGAATAAAACCAAATCGACATAACAAAACAGCGTCATTCAAATAAAAAAGATGGACATAGTACATGATGTAAATACAGAATACAAGGTGATTAACAATGGTAACCATAATGCCTCTTGCTATCTTAAAAACAATTGCCTGTGTCATCAGTTATAATAAAATTGAACAAAACAGTAAAGAACAAAACCAATAAAACCAAAACATTGGAGACATTACAGGACTTCAAAAGAACGTAATAGTCAAACCAGAATGGGCATTATAGTAAATCTTAATATCTTCAAAGTTGTTGCCTATACTCTCAAACTTGGTACTATCAAGCAAAACAAAATAGAGTAAAATCAGTCAAAACAAGATGTGAGAATAATACAGGGTTTCAAATCAAGTTAATAGGAAATCAAAGTGGGTTACTGTAATATATTCTGCTATTTTGTTTTTTCCCTAATTAAAAAGATAAAAATTAAAAAAAATAATAAAAAAGGAGGTTGAGATAAAAGAGGACATAACAACAAAACAGCACAGGTCAAAACATAACCATTTAAGCAACATAGTGTTTCACCACAAGATATCCTGACATAAAAGTAGTTACCGCAGTGTCTCTTTCCTTGAAATATTTGAGTATAACTTCATATACTGTAGTATCAAACATATCAAGACAATGTAAAATCATTCAAGAGAATGACAGTATTACAAGGTATTTAGAACTGATTAACAGAAAATGAACAATGATTTCTACATTATCTCCTGGTCTATAAAAGTTTTGTTTATATTATCTCATATAATAAAATTGAATGAGATAAAACATGTTAAGACTGATGGAGACAGAAGAACAAAAGCTTGATGGGACTTCAAAACAAGATGATATTAAATCATCACTAGCTATTACGATGTCTTATTTTCTCCAAAATAGCTGTTCATACCATCACAGACAATAAAAACAAACAGCCCAGAATAAAACTATTACAATTAAGAATGAAAACATTATAAGGCTACAAAGCAATATAATGGGGAATCATGATTACCACATACTTTTAGGTATTGTTATCATTTCTTACACTAGGGAAACTCTATTCAGTATTTACACATGTGGTATTGATTTATTTCACTTATGAGTATGGTCTCAAGCTGTGCCCATTTATTTATAAATATCTCAATGTTATCACTTTTTATAGCTGAGTAGTACTTCGTTGTATAAAAATATCACATCTTTTTTATCCATTCCTCAGTTTATGGACACTTTGGTTGTTTCCAAGATCTGGCTATTACAAATTGTGCTGCTATAAACATGGGTGCACATATATCTCAGTGGTACGATGCTTTCAGTTCTTCTGGGAATATGCCTAGAAGTGGGATAGCTGGAATAAATGGGACTTCCAATCCCAACTTTTTGAGAAATCTCCAGAGTGACCTCCACAATGGTTGCACTCCCACCAACACTCCTACCAACAGTGGAGGAGAGTTCCTTTTCCCCCACAGCCTCTTCAGCATTTGTTGTTGGTGGTTTTCTTGAGCCTGACTATTCTTTCAGCAGTGAGATGGAATCTCAGTGTGGTTTTAATTTGCATTTCTCTAATGAGTAATGATGATGAACACTTTTTCATGTATCTGTCATTTGTATTTCTTCATCCTAGAAGTGTATCCATGTAATATGCCCATTTTTGGATTGGATTTTTTAATTTTGGGGGTCTGATTTTTTAAAATTCTTTGTATGTTTTAGACATAAGCCCTTTGTCTGAGGGAAAGTTCACCAGGACTTTTTTTTAACCAGTTTGTCGGTTTTCTTTTCACTATGCTGGAGATTTCTTTTGACATGCAGAAACTTTTTAATAAGAGGTGATCTCAGTTATTGATTTTGGGAAGTATTTCCCATGTGGTTTGAGTCCTGTTCATGAATTCTCTACCTACTCCTATGTCTTCAAGGTTTTTACCCAATTTGTCTTCCAATAGATTTAGTGTTTCTGTTTTAATATTCAGATCTTTGACCCATTTAGATTTTAATTTAGTACCTGGTGATAGGCATGGGTCTAGTTTTAGTTTCTGGCATATGGAGAGCCAGTTTTTCCAACACCATTTATTAAAGAGACTGTCCTTCCAATGAACTTGTTTTGCTCCTTTATCAAAGATAAGGTGGTTGAGTATGTTTGTAGTTGTCCTTGAATCTTCTAATCTATTCTATTGACCTTCAGCTTTGTTTTGATTCCAGTACAATGTTGATTTTACTACAGTTGTTTTGCAGTATAACTTCAAGTCAGGAATTGTGATGCCTCCTGCCTTGCCTTCTCTGCTTAGAAATGTCTTTGGTATTTTAGGTCTCTGCTCACTCCAGATGAATTTTATAAGAGATTTGTCTAGGTCTATGAGGTATATTGATGGTATTTTTATTGGGATTGCATTGAATCTGTATAACAGTTTTAGGAGAATGGCCATTTTCACAATATTTATTCTTCCTACCCATGAGCACGGGATGTCTTTCCAATTTCTGAGATCCTCTTCAGTTTCTTTTTTCAGTGTATTATAATTTTCCTTATATAGATCTTTCACTTCTTTCATGAGAGTAATTGCTAAATATTTCATTTTTTTTGGTTACTAGTGTGAAGAGTGTGGCTACTCATTTCTCTCTATGTGATCTTGTTAGTGTATAGGAATGCTATTGATTTTTAAGTACTGATTTTGTATCCATCTGCCTTGCTGAATTTATTTTTTATATCTAAGAGTCTTTCAATGGAGTTTTGAGGGTCTTCTATGTAGAGTATCATGTCATCTGCAAATAATGATAATTTAACTTCTTCTTTTCCTATCTTTAACCCTTTTATTTCTCTTGCTTGTC